CTTTATTGCTGTTGAACACATGGGTGGACTCTTATACCACTCTCCTTTTTCATAGTTTGCTTCTACCCTTCCCTCACTGGAATAGAACTAAATATAAATCTAGCATGGAGGATGGGGACAGCGAAAGGGAAAGGAAAAGATGTTTCAGATACATGTGTGAAGATGCAACTAAAAGAGTGCTTTAAACTGCTTCCAGGTCTCAATTTTAGCCAAAATAATTTCTCAGTATACTTTGGGGAAGACATGAAAAATGAGATTCATCATTCAAAGAAAAATAAATGTTGGGGAGCCTAGCATTTAGTGTCTCTTCAGCCACTGAGGAGAACATATTGATAGAATGGTGCTTTGCTGTGCTGCAGACTCAGGGCAGATGGATTTCCCAAAATATATACACACACATAAATCAAAAGGAAAATTACATCGTGTGTTAATGAGCAACTGATTACACTTTAAATAAGTGTTTTGAAGCCATATATCTGCCACTTGTAAACAAGACATCTCACTGATCCAAAGCACATAAGACAATGCAGCAACAGCTTTTATCTCTGAAGAGGTGGAACCAGAGCTGTGCCAGGACTGATATAAAATCGGTAATCTAAAAATTAAACCAGATATTGTAGTGAGTATTCAGATTCAGGAAAGGCTTATATTCCTTTATGGCTAGTAAGATTAATAATAACTCTTACTATGACAAAGTTTTTATTTTTAAAGACACGCATCGTCCTCCTTCAGCATGCAGATTAATCTCTTCCTGCAAGTGCCAGTAACCCAGACTGAATGAGACTGTAATACACAAAGCATTATTTTGGATAAGTGGCCCCCAGATACAATCCCTTCCTAAACTCATCTGCACGTGTACGATTGTACTCTGATTACACTGATGAGAATGGTCTTCCCAGGAAGGGCCAGGCAGCTCTCACAGCCTGCTGTAGCAATTGATACACTTTTTCTTATCAGCATCCTGAGCAGCCCGCTCTGCCTAGATAAGGAGTTTGATGCTAAATTCAACCTTCCTGTCTCTGGTAGCAGCTTCCCCCTTCCTGTGACTGCTGTTTACATCAGGGCAGTCAGGACACGGAATTCCGAGCACACTCACACTGCTGACTACCCCAAAGCTCCTAGCTGGAAGATGCATGCTCACTATCACATCTACTGCAATATCTTAAAGTAATACGGCTTGCCTTTGAATAGAGATTGAAAAATTATGTGGATACCTTATAAATATCACCTATCACCATTCAAGAGTGAACATTTTTTTCCCCTCTGCAAGCAATCACATTTTCTAAGCAGAGGAATTTAAGGTACTAAGGAGCTAGAATATTATATGCTGGTTTGACCACTGTGAAAATGCCTTTCTCTGCCTCCCAGATCTTTAGCAAAAAGTTTTGAAGCTGTAAGGGTTTCAGTTTCACTAAACTCTCTTAAAGACCTTCAATATCTTCTGCTTATATTTGAATTACAGTTATGAACCACTGTCTAAGAGGGTTTTACATGCCCTGAATATCTTAGCTCTTATATCTAAATATAATATCTATGTTAGCTATTATCTCTAAAACCTATCAATAGAAAACAGGTTTCAAAATACTGCAGGGAACGCTGAAGAAGGGAATGGGGGGATGGATTCACCCTCATCTTCTGGGCGAGCCTGTGGAATTGCAGTCATAAAAGATTCCTAGAAAGGACACCTCCCACGTGGACTTTCGTCCTTGCTTTTGGCAAATGGTGGACATTTGAACTTCTCCCTGCAGTTTGGTATTTTTATTTCTTTCAATTACATGGGTCTTTACTTTAGAAGCAAACAAAAACCAACAGCTTATTTCTTCTCTGAAAAAATGTTTTATCAAAACATATGAAACCTCTCAGAGTGTGCTACTCAGCCTTGCTTGTTCCTTTCTGCTCTATTAAACTTTTAATTCAATTGTTTCCCCTATTAGAAGAAATCAAGTAAGTAAAGAAGGAAGTGTCACTTACCTATGGTGTAATTAGGCTAAATTTATAAATACTCCCTATTTTATGAGTAAAGTAAGTAAACTTTAGTTTCATGGTTTAAATGTTTGTGCTTCTTGTCACTTATGCAGAAACAGAAACAACTTCTCTGGTTATTGGAAATAATATTTACTTCCATCCACTTTAAATCTACTTTGTACACTCAAACTTTCTGGATTCCCAAAGAACCAGGAGAGAGTTCAGAGAGTGAGACTTCACTAACCTCAGCTGTGGCTCATGGATGATGGACTGCAGGATGCAGGTCTTTGGAGATTCTCATGCTGTGTCTCAGACTGCTCTGCAGCATTTCTGGTCTACATTGCTTTCCTACATAGACAGAAACAACTTTTTTTTTTTTTTTCCAATTTCTAAATTTTGGGCTTTTAATATTTCCTTTTCAAGAGCTGTCACCTTGGGTGATGTGCTATATAAATTTTGTATTGAACATCAGAAGATCCTAACATATGCAACCTCTACTTGCCAAAATTATTTAACATTTTCAGGAAAAATTAATTTGGGCAGGGTGAAAAAATTGTGAGGCAATTCCGGTTTTCTACTGATGCTATTAGAACATAAACATACACAAATATACCTACGTATGGACACACAGAGAGTTTTTTATGCTTCTTTACATGATAGTTAAAAATTTAATCTACTTCAGTATTGGTCAAGGACGACTTGAAGACCATTTGGATGAATTCATACAAAAATCAATTGGAATTGCTACAGATCTAGTTACCCCACTTATAATGACACTAGTAGGAGACAAATGCAAGAAGCCTTCGTCTGCTGAATGTAAACCACTGTTACAGAAAAAAATAGGAGTATGAGGTTCTGTAAGTGAAGCAGAAGCCTGACCTGTAACTCTCAGCGGTGCTGCTCTGCCCTCTGCAGACTGGATTGTATAATCACATATTAACCCTGATCACGTACTTCCAAAGCACATCTAACTCCAGAGAAAAAGAAGTTATCAAAGTGAATGAAACACACATGAACATCACTGTGACACTGCAAGTCCTAAATAAGTCAGGAGTACTGCTGAGGCAGTGGCTGGTTTCTGAGTATCCTCACTGTGTCCACACTGCCAATTAAGTTGGGGAAATAATTATTGCCTGAATAGCACCAAAGCCTGGAATCCAAATTCAGAATGAAGTACAGGAAGTACTTATGTTAATTAATCTAATATAAATCACACGGCATTTCTGGACGGTGGAGAAAGAAGTTCCAACTCCCATATGCAGATCAACTCCTCCCTGGTACTATGAGCAGTTTTCTACAGCACGACCCAGGGCAAGTGGACCACAGCAAATGCTTCACTGATACACCACTCTGCAAGCTGTTTAGCTATATGCCACCCTGCACAGCACCTGCCTCCACCTTTTATCCTTGGTAAACATCCAAGAAATGTGGCAAATGCATCCACCTTTATGAGCTCTATATAATTTTATGTTCTCTCCTCATGTTAGCTGGTAAAGAATGTTAAAACTTATTTAATTCTCCTCTATTTGCTACATCTCCACTGATGTAAGAAAACACACACAACAGTATTTACTGCTTCTTATGAGCTAAACAATGCTTTTGAACTAAGGACATGCCATAACCCTTCTGACAGAAAACATCATCGTTATAAGGCTTCTCTTGGATAGGAACAATAAAATAGAATTCATACAACGATCCAGATTAGTTCCAACTTTTCATTTTATTAAGAGCTGACATTTGAAAAACTTTCTCAAAGCACACATGCCAAACCCATGGCATCAGATGTGGCCCTCACAGATGAGCAGCACCTGATGCTCCTTTACTCAACCTGCCTGCAGTTATCAGGTGTCACACCACAGACAGAATGTCAGATCTTCTGAAAAAGGAGCCCGGCAGGAAGAAAAATTTGCGTACACAGCTCCTAACATAGCACTTCTTGTATTGTGACTACCACATGTACTGGTTACATGACCCAAAGACTCACGTGTCAGGAAACAAGAGAAGTGGCAGTCTTTCAGCAAGTGGCAGCATTTACAGAATATCTTCAGCACAAAACTAGGTGTTTGGGAAAAAAAAAATCTTTATTTGCTATAATAGAGTGCAGAGCTTGCTACATGTAATGTTATTACGCTTGTGTAAGTTAAGTTTAATGGCAGATCAATTATTAATAATGATTCTTCTTAACTATATTCACCCTCTCATAGTTTGCAGGTAAAACAAGTGAAAGATAAGTCAGCAGCATATTAAAATTTGATGGAATCTCATTTTGTCACCCTTCATTGCTTTTGATCTTTGAGGGATCTGCTGCAGACTAATGGGACAGGCTAGAAAATTTTCATGCATATCAGTAAGCAAAATAAAAGTCTTAAATTTTCACCTTGCCCATTTCACAAATGTAAATGGTATTATTATTCCAAAGCAAAAAATTGGAGGAAAACAATGTTCACGTTTATACTTAGCAACACTGTTCTCCAGTACTGCCATTTGACAACAGCTGAGTGGCATTCTTAAACAGAATTTTTTATGTATTCTTAAACAGAATTCTCTACCTAATCCCTGCCATCTCAGATAACCAACACAGAAATATCACTAAGGATCTGGGATACATCTTGAAAACCTTGTACAGTCTGACAATACCTTCATCAAACAAACACTCACGCTCTAGTTTTACCTTTCCTTACATTCTTTTCATCCGAGGACTTTGGAGTGTTTTGTAACATGTAAAGGAAATCAAATCTTAATACTGCTCCTCCTTCCAACAAAATAATTGTAGCTAATGACATAGCAATTATTCTCAAATCTAGAAAAATTATAAATTCTGAAAACCTGTACAAGAAGCATTATTTCTGTACCTGTTTACAACTTTCCTTGGACAAAAAGCTGTCATATCCCACCACTCTGACCAAGGCCAGAAACAAGTTAACTACACATGAATAAGCCTGATTATTTCAAGGGAATGTTCAGGCTACAGGAGAAACACTCCCTTTCCAAGTCACATAAGACTTGGTCTCATGAATTGAGATGGGAATTTAGTGAGTTTGTAAGCAAGACAATTCACCAAGTAACAATGTTACTGAGGGAAGAGAGTGTGTTGAAACAGGACAGTTACACTTTTTGAATATAAAAATTTTTAAAGAGAAGCTGAAGTGAAAGCTAAGTGAAACTGAAAAAAGAATCTGAATTTCAACACCAGTGGGGATATATGTTTTCTCACTCTTAAAAACCTGAGCCTTTCTCTCTTGAAAATACTTCCGAATCTCTTTAAAATTACGTATTTAATAATTGCACATTAACTTGTTCATCTCTTGTGTGGTGAAGGCTGAAGAGAAGTTCAAGAAATTCATTGTGGTAGAAGTCCTTAGTCAGCAGAAAGTACTCTGAAGAAAGCAGTAGGAACTGGAAGAGAATTTTCAGCACCTGCAGTTTTGGCTATTGGTGGGTAAAAGGAAGTAAAGTTTTGGGGTGTGCTGCAACCTTCAAGATAAGAGTTGATTGCAAAGTAATTTTTTAAGAGATAAAGAACCACTTGCTCATTAACAACTATGAGCAAAACATAAGAGCAGGATTCACGTCTGTGCAGAAATTCGTATGCTTGTGTTTCATGGTTGTTTCCCAAACCACTATTTTGAGTCCAAGATTCTGCAGACATGGGAAATGAGGCTCTCTGCTGCATGTGAGGAACAGTCTCAAGGTGCTTTTCCCATGCCCGCATCTGTTATTTCCTCTTCTTTTCTTTAACACTACTGAGTATGAAACTTTAACCTCATTTAGCTTCCAGAAAGCCTCCAAGTTGGTTATTTCTCCTAGTAATTCAACTCCCCACACTGCTTTCAAGACCGTTAAATTAAAAAAAAAAAAATTCAGGTTGAAATCTGGGTATTATAATCTATTTCTAGATCTAACTATTCAATTTTCCATCTGTTCTCAGAAAACTGGGTAGGAAACAAATTGTTTTAAAGAGCCATTTCCACACAAGCAGGTATCCCACACGAGGAGACTTCATTCTCCATGTCTACCACAAACCCACCGAAGCTGTGGCTCTGTTTGGAGGTCAGTTAATTCATCAATGGATCTCCAGCTGCACTGACAAGCGTATGCACGTGCTCCTTTCTTCTTTATCATCTTTGCTCTTAGTTTACTGAACTCAGGCATGTTATTCCTGCCAAAGAAGTGAATTCATCTTAGGATCATTCTGGGTTGTTTTGTTTTGTTTTAAAGAAAAAATATTCATGAGGCCATTTCAAATCAGAAAACATCTTAAGGACAATTCTGAATATCACTGTCATGGATGAATATAGGGATATATTTGAATTCTGTTTTGAACACAGTCCTTTCCTGAGAGAAGTCTCAGTGTGTAGTTTCTGTGTTCTCAGATCAACTACAGACTGATGTTTTTGTAAATAATGTTATCTGCTGGGTTTAAAGTCTTCCAGTCAGCCCCCAGAGAAAGAACTGGGAAGGAAACCAAGCAGAGCTAATTCTTGTGTTTAAAAATTACCCAAAAATGTATTTATCTTATCAAATTTACTGTAAAAATTGCTATGCATAATGGGTACAATTACAGAGTTAAACTTTTCATCAGGAACTGTTACTCAAGGTGATTGTTAAAGTGACTGAAATGAAATGGCCATAAGAGGGTAGACTTACATCAAATCAGAAATAATTCCTGTGCAGCCATTAACAATAACAAATGAAAAATCAGCATGCTATGACAAAAACAAGTTGTTTCAAAAAAACGAAGTGAAAATGTAGCATTTTAGCTATCTCTGCTCTCATTACCTCCTCCTGGCCACTGGCCACTGAATTGCTCAAAAACAACATTAACAAGCCAAATTAAATAAAGAAAACCCAAACCAAGTATAAAGGGAAGGATTTTTAGAAAAAGAGATCACACACCTATTGATGGGAGGAAAACGTTTAATCTTTAAGTTTGCTTTCTAAAATTCAGGTTTGTCAAAATAAACAGCTAAACATCTTGCTAAAGATTACAGATTTTATCAATGTTTTGAGTATCTGATACTAATGCCACTCATGTTTTTTTCTTTCATTTCATTTATTAATTTCAAGATCTGAGAAGCAAAATAATTTTGACTTTGGGCAAATTAAAGAATCCCACTTTTGTTTAAACCTTTTCCACTACCAAACTAACCTTAGGAGAATTGTGTAGCGTGGTATTTTTAAAGCTGCTTTAAATAATGGGAAAAATAATGACATTCAATAAGAAATGTGAATTTTGAGACTGGAAGAAAAATCCAGGAATAACCAAAGATGTAACACAGGAAAAATAATGTAAAAGGAGCTGATATCTCCATTAATGTTCTTCTCTGACAGTCACATCACTGTCCAAGCATATACTCTGCACACATCCACCTCTTCCATCAGTTAATGGGCACACACAGAGACTGTGCTAAAATAAGAATAATCAAATTTTGATGTCTATTAGGAACGTGCCTACTACACTACCTTTCACCAAGTCTTGGCATTAGCTTTAGAGAAATTGGAAATAAGAACTCCTTACTTTTAAGTCTTCAAAAACTATTCAAAGAATTAAAGACATCATAATATAAGCAGTGAACAAAAATGTCACCTCTCCATTTAACCAAACTTTGCTTCAAGAAAGAAATCTGTTAAGAAATAAAGCTATTTGATTTTCACTGAACATGACAGCACACCTGATAGTGGAATAAAGCACATCTGACTTGAAACCATCACAATCCCTATGACTGAAGGTGAGGGGCAAAGCACATGCTGAATAGTCTGTATTCACGTTGTTGACATTGTAGATACCCTACAGTGGTTGGCAGAGTCCAACCCATCACATGGATTACCTGCTTATTTCACCAATAAACTGGCCTTTTGATCCACGAAACTTGCATTCTTTTTAAAAGCAGAGGGAGAGACATGAGAGAAGAGATAGAAAAGGATGAAAACAGATTTTGGGAGATGATGCTTCCCCCTCCCCACAGACTGTCCCACTTGATCCCAAACAGTAGCATGCATGCTTCTTTTTAGGTGACACAGCAGTGCCAAGGGCTTCTCATCTTTCCTGTTCTTACTGAGCCCAAAAGTACAGTAGCACAACATTAATACCCATTCCAGACTCACCTGAAAAAAAGATAATCACAGGACTGATCCCAGACGTAGTCATTGAAAAGTGACACACGGAAGTCACAAGCAGTACAACGTAGCTGATCACATGTTCTGGACAAAGAAGAACAAACAAATCAGAGAAGCTGACTGATACAATATACATCCATCATAAATGGGCCAAAGTACAGCACTCACTCAGAAATACTAGAAACAATGTCAGCTAACCTTAATGCTTTTACATCTCTGGCACGTTCAGAATTATGATATGTGATTTAATTATATGTTCATGTATTATTTTTACAGGTTCCTATCCTCACTGAACACATAAACTGATATTCACCTGATATATTCTCTTTAGTCTTCCTCACTGGTACAGCAGTGATGGGCAGCACCCAAATATGTGTTGAGTACACAATTACTTACTGGAAAAATTGCCACATGGAAATGCAATACTGTTCTCTAGGATGTTGTGGATAAATCATCAAAGTACCTCTTCTGCTAAATTCAGCTGCAATTGTGAAGCACTAACCATTTTCAGTTCAGGTTCTGGGATGATTTCAACCAGCCTACTGATTTAAGTCACATACTTGGCATCACATAGAGAGATGAAGAGAGGCAGGGAAAAATAATGCAGCAGCAATTTCCTTAACTACTTGTTACTGATTTTTGGTTTCATGTCTCATTTGCAAGCATCTTTCAACACCTCAAACAAACAAAAGGTCAAGTGGTCAACAACAGAGGACTGGAAGGGATCAGCTGATTTCAACTGCAGTTACAGGCAGCCATTTCTTTAGATGACTGTAAGGCTGTCCTGCCCAGTTCAAATGCAGAACTTTGTATCAGCACAGAAACACAGCTGTGAATAAAAATAATGGTAAAGCAAGTAGCACATTTTTTTTCAGGTTTCCTACCTTTTTGAAATATTTGTTCCTATCCCAGATGGTGAAAGGCTTCCACCCAGATACACTGGACAGCATCTATATGGATTCATTAAAATATATTAAATTATAGCAAAAGAGGCTGGAGAAAGCAGTACAACATTTCTCCTAGTTTAACACCATGGTATTTATAAAAGAATATTTTTAAAATATAGGCAAAGCATCCAAATGCTTGTAAACTACAGAATTTTAAAATTTTCATTATCAAAGTGTTCAAAGAAAAACTCTATGAAAATCACTCTCTATGCCAAATATATAAGGGTCTACATACTGCAGCATTTGATAAATGTGTATTTCCATAAGGCAAAGGAAGATGTTGTTCAACAGTTAAATAATTAATAAATAAATATAAATAAATTTACTATAATTTATTTCACCACATGAAAACGTATTAACAATTCTTTGAAATTACCTGTTTATCTTTGTTTTTCTTTAAAAAGACTGTCTCTCTTCTCAGTGTCTTTCTTAAGAAATGTCAGCAGATTAAACAGCAGCAGTATTATTAGACTAGTAAGAAGTTATAATCAAGCAATGTCCAACAAGCCCCATTTTTCACCTACCTTTTCCCATATGCCTGTACAACAACACTATTTCTTTCAGGCGTGAGACTTGAAGAATTAGACTTCAATTTCTGTTTAAAAACAACCAAAGAATAAAATGCAGAATTACAGCAAAATCAAATTATTCTGTTTTACTTAATAAGCAGGAGCCAGAAAATCTCAGTCACGGAAGAAGGGGACCAAGGCTTTGGGAATTTTCTTGTTCAAGTTTGTGAGGCTCTGAAGTAACAGGTAAGTGAGGTACAAGGCTTCTCTTCCCACACTGAATTTCCAGCTCTGGCTAAAGGAATTCCACACCACACGATCGCTTAAGACTTTACAGTCAAGACTTACTACTTCATGCCCTTTTAAAAATAATTTTGCTTTTAAAACCAGTCATAATTTGAAACCCTCTCCCTCAATGGTTTTTAGCATTTGTTTTATTAAAACCCATCAAGAACTGAGATTATTCAAAAAGATAGAGTCTTTGAAAGGTTTCTTATTTTCTGCACACAGAAGAGTTTATTTGAATTCTAGAATATGAGAACGCTAGATCCTAAATGGGAAGTTCTAGGGATATAAAATGATAAAATTATATTAATTTACTGGTATAATTCTCTCTCCCTCAGGTGTATAGAAGTATTTTTTGTTGGTGCAAATTTAGTCACTCTGTAAAAAATCAAATACAAACAAAACAAAAACAATGTCACTTGTGAAAATAAGGGAATCTGCAGGAGGTTATGAAGTATAAGTAACACCATTTTCTACTGCTGGTACCCAAACGAATATCTATTTTCAATGCCTTCTATCATTATAACTGTCTTAAAAATGTAAATTTGCAGCTTCATCTCCATCTCCTGCTGTGAAATGAGAAGACACTTACCGAGGATACAAAACAAGGAGCAGTGGTTGGTGTATCAGATGACTGAGCTGCCATTAAGAGAGACCTCAAATGACTTCCAGAAATGGGGTGAGAAGAATCTCTTCAAGTTCAGCTAAGGTGAAATGCAAACTCTGCCCCAGGGGAGGACTAATCCTTATGCACAGAACACTATTGTGGGCTGACCAGCCAGAAAGCAGCTTTGCAGAGAAGGCTGTGGGAAATTCAGTCGATAACAAGTTGACCATGAGCCAGCAATAAGCCCTTGCAGCACAGAGAGCCAACAGTAGCTTGGGATACATTAGGAGGGATGTTGCCAGCATGTTCAGGGAGGTGATCCCTCCTCTCTACTCAGCATTGATGAGACAGAATCAAAGAATCATTTCAGCTGGAAGGGACCCTGCTCAAAACAGGGGTCAGTTTCAGTAGCTTTCCAAGGACTGTGTCCAGCTGCATTTTGAAAACCTCCACAGATGGAGACTCCACAACCTCTCTGTGAAGACTGTCCCTGTTTGACCACTCTCACAGTACGAAAAATGTTTTCTTGTGTACAGATTGTATTTTGTTTGTTTCAGTGTACGCCCATTGCCTCTTGTCCTGTCACTGTCACTCTATGGGGGAGAGTCTGGCCCCTTCTTTACTACAACCATAGCTATTTACACACATTGATAAGATCTCCCTGGAGCCTTCTCTTCTCCAGACTGAACAGTCCCAGCTCTCTCAGCTGCTCCTCAGATGACAGGCATTTCAGTCTCTTAACCATCTCCATGGGCCTTTGCTGAAGGTTCTCCAGTAGCTCCATCTCTGTCTTGTATTTGAGAGACCAGAATGGGTCACATTATTCCAGATTACTCCAGATTACCTCACAGACATGTCTGGAGCACTATGTCCAGTACAAAAGAGGCATACATATAATGGAGTGGGCACAGGAAAGGACCATGAAGGTCTTCTAAATCATTAAGGATTTAGACCATCTCACATCCAGGTATAAGCTAAGAGAGGTGGAATTGTTTAGCCTGGAGAAAACAATGGTCAGGAGAACCTTATGAAGGTATGTCAGGGAAAAAGAAAGAAAACATAGCCAGACTCTTCTCAGTGGGGATCACTGACAGGAGAGGCAATGGGTGCAAACTGAAGCACAAGAATTTCCACTCAAACATATGAAAAATCTTTACGACTTGTGAGGGTGGTCAAACACTGGAACAGGCTACTTAGAGAGGCTGCAGTCTACATCCTCAGGGATAATTGAAAGCCACTTGGACACAGTCCTGGGCAACTGGCTCTAGGCAGTCTTGTTTAAGCAGGTGGTTGGATTAGATGATCTCCAGTGGTCCCTCTTCCAACTGCGATCATTCTGTGATTCTGAGCATTGACACTATAGTCTATTTTAAACTAGCATTTCTTTTAATTGCCTGTTATTGCCTAGGTAAGAACATCTCTTTATATGTCTCCTGTTCCTCACCACAAGATTACTGCATTTTCCTTTCTGCTTTATTTTCCAAGTTTATTCAGCAGATTGTTTTCATTAATATTTTGATTTTTTCACTTATGATGCTGTTACTTCCATCTGAACCTGACTTGTTCTCAACTTCTCCAAACCCCTACTCACCAGATGTGTTTTGGTAAAGCTGCTGTCATTACAGATTTCATCAATAATGTCGTCTAGATCTTCTTCACTGCTGCCAGCCCTCATTAACACTTTAGCTGATCTGAAAAATAAATACATCAGCCTTCATTTTTGTAGCAAGACTACAGCAATTTTAAGAGGTGTGAGTTAAAAAAATATAAACAGTTTCACCTTTCTCATCTAATATTTTTATAGTATCTCAGGTAGGCCATCCAAATCATGACTGAACAGATGTAAACTGCAGGATAACACCTTTCAGTCACTGTTGAGTTGTCCCATCCTAGGCCTTATTTTTGCTAGCTTCTTTTACTTCCAACCACTGCCAACCATGAATAAAACTATGACAGTATAACTAACCCCTGCTACACTTACTGGCCAATTAATCGGGCAACCCTGATTTTTCACATTTAGCTTCAGCAGCAGGAATATGAGAAGGTCAGAGGAAGGTCTCTACTCAAGCTACACAACTGCAGGAGTCCTGAAGGGAATTCCTGCCTAACTGGATGCATTTAGAAAGATCACCTGCACTTTGCTTTTGCTCAAGTAACACTCAAGTCTGCTATTTGCTAGCTCTTTGTCAAAGAGAGGCCTGTAGTACTGCTGCATTAACCATTCAAGAACAAATCTACTCCTGAGAAAGAAAACAATGTAATTTTCTTTCCAAGAATGTAATTTGATTGACTAAATTTAAGTGCTCATCTAATCATTATGCAAACAACACTGAAGTCCAGTAAGGTGGTCAAGGGCAGTGGTCTTGCTGGTCTTGCATTAGTCATTGGATTTTTCAAGACCCTTTCCTGAGACTCCGAAATGTGTGTTGGGTAAGCGCTCAGCAGCCCAGCTGTGGAGACATCTGGCCAAGCCTCTCTGGTCCCCAGATCTTCCAAAGGGAGTCTGAGATGCCTGTGAGAGCTGGGATGTAAACCTGATGGTCAGGAGGGAAACCTAAGGGCAGGCAAAGATGCCGTGGTGGAAACCTCAGGGCCTGAGGGCAGGCTGGGATGTCAGACACTGAATGCTTGGCAACTCTGTCAGCAATGACCCTGTCAGGACCAAACTTGCAAAATCACCATTATGAAAATAGTGGAATTTGACGCAGATACCTTAAAGTGTAGCATGTAAGTTTAGTGCTTACTGTAGCGGATATGGTAACTAAAGTATGAACAGAAAAAACAGACCCGAGGGAAGAGCACGAAGCTGTGTCAAGGGAGGTTTAGGCTGGATATCACGAAAAGATTCTTCACCCAGAGGGTGGCTGGGCACTGGAACAGGGTCCCCAGGGAAGTGGTCACAGCACCAGCCTGACAGAGTTCAAGAAGTGTTTGGACAATGCTCTCAAGCGCATGGTGTGACTACTGGGGTGTCCTGGGCAGGACTTCAATGATCCTCGTGGGTCCCTTCCAACGTAGAATATTCTGTGATTTTGGTGAAATGACTGAAGTATCAAGAGAACAAAAACTTTGATAATGCTATTGCTAAAGTTCTTCCTGCTCTAAATCTTGAGATTTATAGATATTTGAGGCCAGTTATATACAGAGAGCTATCATAAGGTCAGCTACAGAGCCAAGTAATCCCCAACCCTAACCCCGAGGCAAATTAGTGCAGCTTTTAACGCCATATTTAATCCAAGGTTGCGCTACACGTAGGAGACAAAGACTGTCTGAAGTAACTAAACTCGCTGGCACACGATTTCGGTCTTTAAAAAACACGGGCTGCAAGTGACGCTGATCGACCGTCGGCCCGGTTGGGGCTCCTGAACCCGCGTATTTTGGGTTCCTGAGAGATGTGGCCGCGCGGGGCGGGCAGGGAGGGGCTGCGCGCCCCCCAGGCGGCCCCTCGCTCGGCGGGGAGGGGTGTGAGGGCGGCGGGACCGCGGCGGGAGCGCTAACCTGCCCTCCTTGGCCGCCGCGGGCTCCTCCTCGCCGCCGCCGCCGCCGCGCCGCTGGCACAGCCGCCTCTCCACCTCGTCCAGCAGCCGGTCCAGCTCGTCCGCCATCTTGCCGCCCCGCGGTTGCCAAGGCGGCGGCGGCGGCGGCGGCGGCGGCGGCAGGGGCGGGGTCTGCCCGCCCGGCCGGGGCCGGGGCGAGGGCAGCTGGTGGGGCCTGCGGGGCTCGGGCCGCGGCCGCGCTCCCGCAGAGCCGCTCCCGGGATTCAGCGGTGAACAGCGGGGAGGGGAAGGAAAAATAAGAAAAATTAATACCACGTGACCGCGGTCGTAGTCGGCAGGATTCGAACCTGCGCGGGGAGACCCCAATGGATTTCTAGTCCATCGCCTTAACCACTCGGCCACGACTACGCATGCTGCAAGAGGCCTTCCCGCCTTCTCATGACGGGTTAGCGGAGAAAGGACGCGGTTTGGTGCTTGGCTCCGTCCGCCTCACGGGGCGCAGTGAAAGGTTTAAAATAGAGGTTAGGCTTAATGCGTCTGTCATGCAGATCGCTCGGCTGGATATTGGTCTGTTTAGAGCAAAACCAAATGGTTAGGCTTTGCAAAGTCCCGCGGGAGAAGCCCGTTGTTTTTTTTAAGTTAAATTTTTTTAGTTTTTTTAGTTTGTTTGTTTGTTTTGTTTTGTTTTGTTTTGTTTTGTTTTGTTTTGTTTTTGGCGCAGATTAGGAGTTGCGGAGAGAGCGGCCAGCCCCCACAGCGCCCGGGAAGTCGGGGCAGGCATTTTTGAGGAAAGTGCCACACAGGTGGCTGTCGCCAATCGCCCTGTTAATAAATCCAGACAAACGTAGGAGGTGTCAGTCACCACTCTTCCAATGCCAGCTCCACCTCCCCTCTCGTCAGGGACACCCGGGAGGTGAGATATCCCGAGGTGAGCACACTGTCTACAGTGTCAGTGAATGCTGTATATTATTATATATTTTTAGAAATATAATGAAGCAATTTAGAGAGAGAGGTCGTGTTACGCTAAACAGAGCATTGCCATCTCCTTAGCTCAGCACAATGCTTTTACCCACGATGGCTCAAAATTTGTCACCCTGTGATGAAGTGGGATCTGCTGTCCTTAAGAGCTCCAAGCAAAGCCTCTTGGTAACAAGGTATTTTACAATTCTCTGGGTATTTCAATTAATGAGTTGCAAGCCCTGTCTGAATTCCCTCGTACTTAAGCTTTTATTTCATTGTTCCATTTTCCTCCCCACATATCTCAGGTCGCTGTTAATACCCCCATCCGATCCACGGCAGTGCTGCTGGGGGAGATGTGTAGGGTCAAAGAGTTGTGAGCCTTTGCTGGGCTGATGCGATGGAAGAAACGAAATAGTGTTGATGCTGCTCCAGCTCTTTTAAGTGGTCCCTTGGCCAGGACTCTGTGTCATGTAGGTAAATTCAATCCAGAAGAAGTGGATTTTTGGGTGGAATTTTTACATTCATCTCTTGCAGCTGTGGAGAGTTTAAACTAATCACAATTTTCCCCAGTATGCCATCATCTCTGTAATTTGAAAAAGGATCAGGAGCCCACAGGCTTGGAAAATCTTGAAGAAACTCTTGTCCTGAAATACATCATCACATGTGGAAAAGACCACTTGCTGCATCATCTTAAAGGAGCTTAAGAATGCTGAAATCCAGTATCATTCTGGCATTCTTTCAAATGGCCTTAGAAATCTGAGTACATTCTCTTTTGACTGCAGAACAGCTTCTTTCCCTTTCCATCAATCCTGTGGCTGTCAGTGTGTCTGTTGCAAGGTGCCAAAAATGTATGGGGTGTCTATGGGATAATGGTGCCAAAGTCAGGGGTGCCTCGAGGCCTTCTCCCATGAACTCGTTGCAGCATTTGCTCAGTTGGAAAGCATTTGAAACCAAAAAGAAAACAAAAAAGAAAGAAAAAAAAAAGAAAGAAAAAAGGCATAGACCTTTAAAAATTGTTGAACTGAAAAGATTGGCTTTGTGCAGATTGCTGCCTGCTGTTTAGATCCTTGTTGTTCAAAACTTCTGAAAGGTCTGATGCAATCAAAGAGACTAACTGGGTCAAATTGATTCCAGCCAATCCCTGGAATCACACTAAGGTGAATCTGACATACTGGGTCTTCAGCTAAGCTGTGGCCAGGAGAAAGGAGTTAAGGCCATGCCCTGAATTTTGTCCTCTCTTAGGAAATCAGTGAAGTGGCTTGTTCAAATCACGTCTCCTACTGCAAATGGAAAGGTTACTGATTGCTGAGGGCTGGAAAAGTACAGAATGACCAAATACTATCTCAAGATATCCTTAGGAAGAGAGGACAGAAACCTGGAAGGCTGTCTTGGGTGGAAGCCATAATGTTCTCTAATCCTCAAGCTACTGAAAGCTTTCTCAGTGGTGCTGATAAAACTGGCTTTTGCCACAGCAGGGATGAAGACAAAAAAAAACCAACAAAACAACTTTCTAGGGCAGGATGTTAATTTCTCTCTTCTGTTTTCTCTGGGAACCAAAGTGAGCCTGAATTGAGGTTGACCAGAATTCTTCTCAGCCCCTCTCTCTGAACAATGAATTCTCTGCAACTCAGGTAATAACAAGAGGTCAGCAGAGCCAGGTAATACCAAAATCATTTCCCAGTGCTACCCATTGCCAGACAAGAGGGAAATGATTGCAGGGAGGCACTCTTCTTTTTGATGTGGTGATAACATGTTGCAATCCTTTCTGCCTTGCAGTGTCTTGCCCCAGAAGTTGGGATGGAGGTAATGCAGTGACTGCCTCTCCCCAAGGTATTCTGTCACCTCCAATGTATGTAGAACTGTACAGCTCCTTGCTCCCAGTTACAGGATATTACTCTAATCCTGTTCCTTGTCACAATCCAGGGAAACATCATTTTGAGTGACACCACTTATTTCTTATTAATAGTACAGTGCATCAACATGAGAAAATTCAGGGCTAAATCTAGATTTTTGGCCATAATTTTAACTACTAGCAAGCATTCCTGTGAAGAAAATTTTTCTGCTAAAGATACCAGATTGAGAGACAACTTCTTGAAAGACATCTTGGCAGCAAAACTAACAGTGTGTGCAAGATTCCTCATGCAACACTGTTTTGTGATGTTAAGAGACAGCCTCAGATCAAAGGATAGTTTAAGCTGGAGGCTATCCGAGTCTTGGACTTCACTGTAAATCCTTCCATCAAAGGTGCCAGCTCAGAGGGTGGATTTTCAGTTCAGTGTGCTGGCACAGCTGCCTTACCCATGAGGGGCATGAGGACTGGAACAACTTCCAGTTACTTCCAACCTTCCTCTCAATTAATAATTTCAAGGCTAGAGTATGTGAGCAGCCACCACCTGTTTCCTGGACTGCACAGTTCTCTAGTAAAGAAAACTGTTCCTGAGAAGAACAGGTAGGTGTGCAGAATGACAGTCTTAGCCCTTGCTGTGAGGTGTAAACTTACTTCTGGATGTTTGCTCATTTTCAAATGAATGTGATGTAGTGCTTACCAAGAGAAACAGAAAATTTTTCAAGACAGTATACAAAACAAAAAATTACTTGTCTGGAGGCCTTTTAATGAATGTGGCATAATCCTCAGAGCTTCTTAGAACCATGACATTTCGATCTCTGTGAGGGTATAACAAACATTGGAAAGTTGTTTCTGGGAAAAAAACTGTCAGCTTGTAAGGCTGTGTAACAAGGAGGTCACACTTCCAAATCAATGATAATTATGTGTAACTTCGAATAAAAGTGGTGTTGCAGGGCACTGTGCAGCTTTACTGCACCTGCATTCTCTGGCACCAAGGGTGTCAGTGCCTGTAAAGTGGAGCAGAGGGAGGCATGTGGGGATAAAGCAGGTCACTGCAGAGAACATATCACAAGGTAAAAATGTTTCCATTTAACAGATAGAAATAATAATTAATAGTAAATATAAGATAATTGGCCTGCCAGGAAGGACCTAAGCTGCGAGAATGTGAGTAGGAAGAAGAAAGCGTCAAGCACAGAGGACTACTGTGGAAAAATCAATCCTGCTTGCTGCCCATTGCACAGCTGTGGTGAGAGACAAACACCATGTAAAACCGGCCTAACTGAGGGAGCTGAAACCAAAGCAGAGATAGTGTTCCATCACCCTTGCCAAGGTTGGAAAATATTTTTCAGGGATGATTCTCCAGAAGAGTTGTGAGCTAGGAAAAGCTATCCTGTAAGGCACAGGGGGCATGGTCTGAGTGTGCCTGTGGGGGTGAAGGTGCTGTTTATGTGAACTCCACACTAATACCCAGCTCCTCAGTGGGGCTGATTCAGATTTTTCTTCCTGAGGCCTCAGGATACTGCATCTCAGAGGGAGACAGATGTGGCAGCTGACAGCGGTGGTGTTGTCACACATCAGTTTCCAGATACACTCCTTTGTTTAACCGCATAGCAGTGCACTTTGTTTCACTGCACAGCTTCCTTTTCTTAGTACAATAATCCTGGTCAGTGAAAAGATATGTTAAGCAGAATCACACCTGTATAACACAAATGTGTGATTTTGTTCAGGCTTTTACAGTTAAAAGACTTAAAAGTACTGCAAGAAGAAGAAAATCTTTTTCAGATGTAAGCTTCTTCAGAAAACCTCCCTCTAGAAGCTCAAATGCTAAAAAGAGATCTTAATGTCTGTAAGTGAGTAATGAGATTTTCATTTGGATTTGAGATAAACAGGTTTTTTTTCCAGTGCAGTTTTCAAAAGAAAGAATGTTTAAAGGTAAAGTGAAAACTAAAAGCTAAGACCTCACTGATTTTCAGCAGGGTCAGGATTTCAGACAGAATATGAAAATCCAGTCCATCTCATTGCAAATATCTGTTCCTTGCTGGAGGACAGGAACTGGTAGCTCTCCTTCCAGCTCCAGGCTGCGTCTCCCAGCAGAGGGCATTGCAGAATGACATTACTGTTTTTCAGAAATCTGGCAGAAGGCAAACTGAACTTCAAGGGGTTGTTTGGCTGGTATAAAATTTATTTTCATGACCTGTACTGGAAGAGTAGATCATCAGTTGTTTAAAACCAAAAGATGCTGCTAGAAAACTGTAGCTGGAAGATAAAAGGAATTTTTCATTGCATTTTAAAAAACCCTAAT